CTGCACACTGGACCTGAGAAGTGTAATGAAACCAAACTGATGTCCCACAATTAGAGGTGCTGGTAGAGTTAATCTGGGCCCACTTCCTAGGCTCCCCACAGGATTCCAGCACGCAGCCACAGGAGAACTGCAGGCCCAGGTCGGGGTCCCGGCGGGGCAGGCATCACAGAGGGGCGGGGATCACAGGCAGAGCACAGCAGCCCAAACTCGGAGAGAAGGTCAGAGGAACACCCGCAAAGCCCCACTTGTCCTAGGGCCAGGCAAAGGATGAAGGGGGCATGGAGGATTTTGATCTGGCCGCCCACTGATGGGAGGACTTGAAATCACAATGCCTTGCAAAGACCAGATCCTTCAAAAACACAAGACAGAGTGAGGGAGTGAGGGAGTGAGGGAGTGAGGGAGTGAGGGAGTGAGGAGAGGAAGGACTGTGTGACTGACACTGCAGAGAGGGACGAGAGGCAGGAGCTCGGGTCTGGGAATTTTATCCCTGGGAAAGATAGGCCAGGCTGGCTGATCCCTCCCCTGGTTCAAGCCCCTCTATCATACGGAGCAGGGGACAGTTGGTGGTTACTTTCTCAGGAAACCCCATGCTTTCCAACTGGCAAATGAGCTGTTCTGAACCCAAGGAGGGAGAACGGGAAGAAACATCAGTGTGAGCAGAGGCCTAAGAGCTTGCAGATCATTTTAATTGTATCTCCTGACTCTTCAGCCTTTGCAACATGCTGTCACCTAAAGTGACCCCTTGGTCCTTGGGAGAGGTGAGAGTCAATAATAAATAACTCATGTTTATTCAACATTACCTTGGGCCAGATTCTGCTTTCAGGGTTTCATACGGTGAATTCATTTCATCCTCACAGCTGCTCTGGGAGGTGGGTCCTGGCCTCACTCCCCATGTTACAGATGAGACCCTGAGGCACCGAGAAGTTGAGTGGGTTACCTAGTGTCACACAGCTAAGAGGGAGCAAAGCCAGGCATAAACCTCAGTACTGACACACTCTCAACCTGCAGTGTAAACTGCAAAACAAAATGGTCCCACTCCACATATGAGAAAACTGAGACTCAGATATTAAGCAAGTGCAAAATTGATTCTTAACCGAGAGCTGCCCATTCTTAAATCAATAATGTCTAACAAACCAGACTCCTCCCAATAGACTTGCTCAACGGAAAGCAGCTGACTTACTCGACAGAGAGCCAAGGCTGCAGGTCTTAAGGAAGAGACAAATGTGTTGAATCTAGACTGGTTGTCTCATGTTCTTGGTAAAGGCAGCAGGAACAACTTCCGGTTTCATTGTTTGCACCTATTACTCACAGTGCTATCTTGCCAGACCTGCTCCCCAACCTTAGAGACAGGGAGGACTTGGGACGGAAGGTGTGGAGCAGGTGCAGTTAGTTTGTTAAGTCTGAAAACTGTTGGTGATCCTGAGCCTCTGTGTCACCTCCAGCTTTCCCCGGGGGACCCTCCTAGACCAGTCTTGACAGAGGCTCACTCATTCCGTACTTATTGGACACCTATTGTGAGCCCGGCCCTGTGTTCGGTGCTAGAACCACAGTAGTGATGAGGATAGATGTGGTCCCTGCCCTCAGGGGGCTGACAGCCAGTGAGAGGTGCACATACCTGAAGGAGTCGTGAGTGACCCTGGCATACGGTGAGCCGTAAGACGGGAAGTGTGGGGTGCTGTGGGGACAGTTGCGCTGGTCTGGTAAAAGCAGGGTTAGCAATGGGATGGGGTCACTGGGGAGGAGGCTCCTGGTCCCTTGTCCATTGATTTGCATGTCCTGATTTGCATATCTGGAAGGAACTGCCACATTCCAATGGTTTTCAAGTGTGCTTGGGGTCAGTCCCTTTAACACTGGGTGGGAATAGTTCAATATTGGAGTTTTGCCTTCTTGTGGGAGAATGTGTGGGCAGAACCCTGAAAATGAGTGCCTTAAGGAAAGTCTATTATTCTTTCTTCTTCCCACAATCTCTCTGTGTGTGTTTCCTCTAACACATCCTCCCTAGACATGTTTCAAGTAAAACATTTTGCAATCAGTTACAACTGCATAATCGCCACCTGCCCTAAACAGTTTTTGCTTCATTTTCTTCAGAGTGTTTACCTTTTTTCCTCATTGACTTATGTTATGACTTGTACAATAATAACTTGGCTGTCGGCAGACCTTACTACCAGGGGAAAAAAAACAGTTATTGAGCACCTGGTATGGTGTTCACAATTTTGCTGAGAGTTTAAGTTCATATTATTTTGAAAGGAACAACAAATGGTTAAAGACCATGCTAATAGGTCCTACCTGATCTATATATACTTAAGTCTCTATTCTTCACCACCTGCTTAAGTTCTTTAAATCGTATGCCTTTCCTTCCAAAAGGTCTCTGGAATAGGGATTAGGTTGAAGAGCTATTACACTAGTTCATATCCTCCCTTCCTCCTGCTCCCCCACAATCTCATCTACATATGCCATGCTTCAGAGCGGGGGCAGCAACAACCAGCTGGTTCTTCTTCCTCTAGAGTTAAGAGTCCTCAAACTCTACATTAAACATAAATTTAAATATCAACCTTCAACCATATGTTCACAGCAGCAATGTGTCCCAGTATTGAAAAAACCCACAACAGTACACCCTGTTTTGTCTCTCTAAGCTACGAGCAATGGTTGAAGGAGAAATATTGGTAAACCTAGATTTCTGTTGATTTTGCTATGGATCACAGTATTTCACACAGTCATTTGCACATTCATTCGTTTATCCGTGACCACATATGCAGAGTCTAACGTGTGTTAGAAGGCAGGGCAGTGGGGTGGAGCAGGGCATTGACCTGGAGACAGGAGGCTGCATTTGGGTTCCAGTGCTGTCACTGCTTGTGTGACACTGCTCCGTAACCTCCCCAGGGCCTGTTTCCTTATCCACAGGAGAGCTTCTAATGAGATCTTCACTACCTGCAGCATCAGCATTACATGTGAAATCCGGTGGGGTCTTACTGATCAGAATCTGCTTCACATGTACCGCAACATCCGGAAAGCACAGGAGCACACATCTTGCTGATCCTTGATCAAAATCCTGAGTGAACGTAGTTTTCTAAAATAGAGGCAACATGAACCTCAGATGGACACCATGTCTTGCTGGTCTGACATATCGTAACAGGGGTAGAGTGGGAGAGGGGATAAAAAAGGAAGTCCTTTAGGAAATACCCAAAGTCCCATCACATAGACAGGTGCTGAGATGAAAGGTGTCTTTTCAGGGTATGTTTCCTACAATCTCTTAGCATCACTGATCTTTCTCTTTTTGTTTCGTTTATCCAGATTCGCTTTGTGGTGGAACTCGTATGGCCTTTATCTTTATTTCTGGTCTTGATCTGGTTAAGGAATGTCAACCCGCTCTACAGCAAGCATGAGTGTGAGCATTGCGGGGTAGCCTTGGCAGACCCGGTGTCCCACCCCTTTGTTTAGGAAGGTCTTTGGGGTGGGGGTGCCAGGATCACACCTGCTTATTATCATTTCATGCCCACAATGTAGAAAACAGAGATTTGTCAGTGTTACCCAAATTAATCTTTTATTCTTACACATTCTATGCAAATACCTGTATGTGGTCACTGATGAATTGTGATTATTTTTTGTTTTTGTTTTCTATCCCTAAACTGGTACTAGTATTAAAAGGAAGCAGAGTATAGATGAGTTCTCCAATATTTTGGAGACCAATTTAGCGATATGTTATACACAGTGCCAGAGAAAAATAAGAAAAAGGAACACCATAACAATCATGCTGAATAAAGTGTTATTTCTTGGACCCCAGAGGTGTCCTGGGATCCAGGGTGAGCCTGTGAGTGCCTCTCTTAAACCATGTCCCTCCGGGAAAACCTTCACCTGGTTTCTGGTCAGGGTGACATCTCCTCCCTCTAGGCAGCTGATGTGAGACCTCAAGAGTTATGCAAAGCTGCTCAATCCCCTATTCTTGTTCCTCACCCTCTTGTTCCTGAGTTCTAAGACCCAAGTTCTGATCCATTTCCTTCCCGGCAACCCCTGCAAGGAGTCTATAATCTGTAAGCTTCCTGCCTGCTTGGGGGCAGGTGCTCATAAGAAGGAACAGGTGAGCCTCTTCTCCTCCAGTGTCAGCAACTTGTGGAGGCCCCTTGAGCGAATATCCCTTCGCCCCTCCCACCATAAAGTGATGTGCTCCCCTTCTGTCCCCCCTCTGTACTTCCATCTATGCCTCTGTTAGAACATTTGTCTGTCTTCTGCTGCACTGAGGGCTTGAGAGAGGAGACCCTGTCTCCGGGACCCAGAGCAGGGCCTGGCATGCAGAGATGCTCCTGCTTCTTAGATGAACGAAGCAAAACACCAGAGGGGCAGAATCCTTCCCGTGGAGGCCCTAGTTCCTGGGGCCTTCGTCCCACTGGGTCTGGGAGACTAACTTCTTGTCTTCATTTCCTGTCTTAAAGGCCACTTTCCCAACAAGGCGATGCCCTCAGCAGGAATTTTGCCATGGCTCCAGGGAATTTTCTGCAATGTGAACAACCCTTGTTTTAAAAGTCCTACCCCGGGAGAATCTCCTGGAATTGTGTCAAACTATAACAACTCCATGTAAGTGCTGAGATTTCCACCTTAAGGGGGAGGCTGTTGCACACCCCTTTGTTCCGCCATAAGCTGCAGTGCATGCGCACACCCAGAGCATGTAATGCTGAATAAAGGCTTCTGTGGCTTGCTGGACCCTTAAGCTCATAGGAGCAGGGCATGTTTCCTCTCTGGAGCATTCTATTAGCTATCAGGGCCTTTGGGAGAAAGCTTCCAACTAAGACCACAGGACACGGTTTCTTGATCCTGGTATTTCCAAGATATGACCTGAAGTCTGATGGCAGTGCCCTGCTGAGATGCGCCCACTGCCTCCGGGTGGTCCCTCTGCTTGGGTGGAGTCACTGAACAAGAAACACTCAGTTTTCCTTCTGTTGCCTTAAATCACTGCCCCCCTGGTCCACCCTGACAGATTCCTGTCCCTTTAAAAGCCCTCTTGGACAGTGCTCACTCGAGCGGTACACATACAAAACTGGAACAATACAGAGAGGATTAACATGGCCCATGTGCAAGGATGACATGCAAATTTGTGAAGCATCCCAGTTTTTTTTTAAGCCTTCTTGGACATATAAAGGCTAAGGAAAATGTCAGAGAATATTTTAAGGGTGAATTAAATAAGATTTACAAGATGAAATTTGCTTCCTGGGAGAAAAGGACAAATTCCAAATCCTCTATTTTAGATGACATCAGCTCCCTCAGCAGCAAAATCTGAGGCTGTGGCTGGAGGGTGGTGATTCTTAACCTGTGGGGCTGGAGACCATTCCAAGAAAGTGATGAGAATGGGTGGCTCCTCTTCCAAGAAAAATGAGCACACAGACACGAAACATTACATTAATGTCGGGGGACTTGTGGACTTGAGGTTCATGACTCCTGGTCTGGGGCCGAATTTCAAGTCCAATCCCATAGGAGGAAGGTCTGCCTATGGAATTCCCTGTCAGAGGTGGGAGGGCATGATGGGAGACTGTCCTACACACAGAGGCTCAGGGATGAGGACAGGGCTGTCCTTCACCCACTGGGCTGAACTTGAGCTGCAGCTTGTGAAGCTTATTCCCCAGAACCACCAACAAGGGCTTATTGTAGAGTGGACTTCAACAAAACACCAAGTCAGATGGAAACGGAGGCATTTTTGTTACTTCAGTTTTTCCTCTGGATAGAATTCCTCCAGAAAAAAAAAAAAAAAGCTATATTTTGACTGAAAAAAAAAAAAGAACATTTAGTAAGTCAGCCTAATGCTTAGAGATGGCCACCGGGAACAAACTGTGAAGGCTTTTGCCCTACAGTGGCAGAGTTGAGTAATTGTGACAAAATTATGGCCCAGAAGCCTGTAGTGTACAACTCTTCACTGACCCCTGCATTATAGAAGGGTAGGAGGGGGAACGCCTGTCTTTCTAGGACAGCCGGGAGGTGATATTTTAGGTGGGCTCCCATGGCTGCAGACACTGCCTGAAGGCTTTAATTTACAATCTACACTTTCAGTTTGAGTCTCTTTGAGGTGCCTGAGAAGAAATGCCTATCCACCTAGAGGGATCTCATGGGTTACATGGTGGGATCCAGGGGGCCTTGGCGACATCCTGGTAAGGCCAGATGGAGCTCTGGCGGGACTAGTACGGGCAGTGTCTGTAGATTGAAGGGTGAGAGTTGAGGAAGGGGGGCTTCAGACTTTAGTGTGTGCTCAGCATTTGAACCAGGAAGTCTGGGTTTCATGTTGCACACATATCTTATAGGTGAAATATTGGCTTATTCAAGGGTCTTTTGCATACAAGTCACAGAAACCCCTTTAAACAAGGCAAGTCCCAGAGGAAAATATATGATTTGGACACTAGACCTTCTCATGAAGCCAAGGTGCTGCAGTCAGGTATCTGGAGGGGCGGGCCAAGAATTGAAGAGCCGTCAGAGCCGCTGTCTGCTGTCAGGGCCCGCAAGGCGCAGCCTCTTCGCCTCTCCCTGGACATCCACTTTATTTGTCCCTTCATGGACCAGTGTCTCCTCCTTCTCAGTGCCCAGGCTGGTGCTGGCTGTTCAGTTCATAACACCTTGCTTTGGGCAATCGGCAGAGCATCTTGGAATATTATTTAAATTCCTGGGAACAAATCCGGTTGGTCTGGCTTCATTCTCCTTGTCCAGTCAGCCTTGGCGGAGGTGTGTATGCACACATGTAGGTAGAAACTTATGGATTAAGTGTGGCTATCAGAACCTCCCCCTATAAATGGCTGGAAGGGCGGGTCTCAATGAGTGGGTGCCAGCTGAGAAGAACCTCCAGTAATAGCCACTAATATCCTGCTCAAAGCTTCTCTGGATAAAGACACCTAGAGAGTGGGATTGAGAGGTGACTTGGCCCTGCCAAAGTCGGAGGCCTGAATGAATTGCTCACTGCCCCTGTCTGCTACCTTATATGTATTCAATGCAAAGAAATAAAAATATTATTCTCCTTTTGCCTTGGCACTATTGTAAAGATACATAATGTAGTAGCTGGGTCACGCAGACGGTATCTTTAAAAATTGCACAAGGTGGTATAATTACTATGAGAATGACAGCTAGGTCTTTATTGATGAGGCCTCGTTTTTCTCCCAGCTTGGCAAGGGTGTATCGTGATTTTCAAGAACTCCTCATAGATGCACCAGGGAGGCAGCATCTTAGCCAGCTTTGGACAGAACTTCGCACCTTATCCCAACTCATGGACACCCTCCGGACTCACCCCGAGAAAATTGCAGGTAAGGCGGGCTTCAGTGTTCTTAGTCCTCACTCTCCTCTCACCTATCTCACGTATCAGGGCGACTGAAGATACAGGAAAGAGTAGGGAGATTTGGTGAGAAAAGATGCTAAAAGAGACAGGATGGAATGGGATCTAGAGGGGGCGTGGGTCTCACCTTGATGAGGACTCCTCTTCCCACCAGCCTAGAAAGTAGGAGTTTGGGAAGGAGGATCAGCAAGTTCTTACCCCAGGTAAGCCCAGAGACAGAAAGGAGCACGCCCCCAGAGCTGGTGCTCTGGGAAGTATGAGGCTGGTCTAAGTGTTAGAGGCAGGGAAGATGGATTTTCAGAGTAAGGTAAAGGTACGGGGTAGCTTTCACAGAGCCCTAGAGAGCAAGCTTACCGGGAACATGTGTCCCAATGCCGAGTAGCATTAGGGACTTGCGGAGGCCAGAGAGCATGTGTTTATCATGACATAAATATGTATGATCATTTGATTTCTTCTAGCGATATTCGGCATCCCAAGCGCTGAGGCAGAGAAGAAGGTGCAGGGTCAGGAGATACAGAGCCAGGTGCTTGTAGGGGGGCAGAGAAAGTCCAGGCGGCAAGGGGGTTGAGGGTGGTGATTGAACTACACAAGTCAGGTCCAGGATGCGTAAGGAGGGACAAGTGGCCAGAAGTGCTGAAATGGGCCAGGGGATAATGTGGGGGAGAGGCAAGGAACTAGGGGTCTCGTGGCCCTGTTTAAGGGCTGAGAGAATGAGCAGGATGGAAGGACTGACAGTTGTGGTCAAAAAATGAAGTCCATGAATTCAAGATTTCAAAGGCGGGCAGGATGGGCGAGGACAAGCCCCTCAGGTGTGGCCATGGTGGTTGAAGTGGCGTGGAGGTGACAGTTTGGTTGATGCGGAGATGAAGGAAATGAGAGGCCAGCAGGGTGGGAGACACGGACCCTGCAGTTGTACGGGCAGGAGAGCCCCTTAGAGTAGGGATCAGCGACCAGAAACAGTGGAGGAGCTCCCTCCTGGGCCTCTCCTCCCAGGGGAAAAACAAGAACAAACCAACCCAACCCCAGTAACCATTCTGATATTTCTTCTTGAAGCGACAGTGGGTATTGTGCAGTTGATATGTTTGCTGGAGGCTCCACTGCAGACGGCCCTGGGGACTGGACAAGGCAACAGCCTGGGCCCCAGCTGGAACCGCCCCCATGGGAACCCTGTGCCAGGCCCACGGGAACCCCGGCTCGCTGCGGCCCAGGGGTGGGGAGCAAAGGCTGCTGGTGCGGGGAAGGTTGTTCAAGGGGTGGGGCTGAGAGCCTGAGAAGGAAGCAGTTTGGATCTGGGAGAGGTCTGCTCCTCCGGATGACCTTAGAGGATGACAGGAATGAGGAAGGGGTCTACCAAGAGGACTGGAGGGGCTGGGTAGCACAGCTCCTACTCAGGGTTCCAAACAAGAAAGGTGGAGAGATGGTAGGGAGCAGTCTGGGAGCCTCGCTGTACAACTCAGTCAACATTCAGCAGAAGGCTGGCCAGTGCCTACTGAGCCAGGCTCTGTGCCGGTCCCTGGCGGGAATGGTGGGTCAGACGAGGGTCCGCCTGCTGTCAGGGCAAAAGTGAACGGACAGTGTGAACAGTGACCGCGTGTGTAGAGCAGAGGGCAGGTGGAGCTTCAAGAGCTCAGCGGAGTCTGAAGGGGAAAATTTTCCAAGGAGAGTCTGATCCGCCTTCTCCCTTTGCTCCCCATTGGAGCCATAAAGGGCAGGAGTCTGTCCAGAGAGGACTTTAAGATTATGTTATTACATTCTAATTGTTTCAAACATAGTAAAGCATATGCTTTATGTAAAAAAAACAAACTACAAACGCTATGTCTTTGGCTGCTTGGGATGGAAGAAATTACTTACCTGGAGTTTGAAGGACTAAGCATTTAGTCCTATGAGCACAATCAGCATTTTAATAGTCAGAAAAAAGGGATGGGAGACCCCAACCAGAAAGCACTTTTTCCCCTAAGGTTAAACAGCAGAAGAGAAAATGGCTGGCCGAGCCCTGGCATGGCTGCCTGCCTTGTTCATCCAGCAGACGTTTCATTTTGGTGCCTGAGCCTCGCCTGGAGTCTGGCTGGGAGGAAGTAGAAAGGAAGTAATTTCAAACTTCATTTTCTCTGTGGCCTTTACAGCATGTGTATGAGAACCAAAGATCACTACTTCCTAACCCAGAGCGGGACGCGTTTTGAATTGGCACGCAGGTGGTTCCTCCCTCAGGCCTTCAGGCTTTGGGGGAACACCGCCAAATGACAGCAGCCTCGGGAGTCTGGGCAGACCAGGTCAGGGAAAGCCAACCAAGGCTCCCCCAAGAATTCTGGGGCTGGGAACAGAAACTGCAGAACACCTTGTCTCAGTGGCCCTGAGAGGGGACAAGAAGACCATCCCCAAGTAAAGTCTGGGATACTGCCTCTGAAGGAATCCCAGGCTGGGGACTGAAGTACGTCGTCGGCAGGGCAGACTCTTTCAAAATCTGCCCCAGAGTCACCTGTGAGTGTTGACTCCTCAGCGACAAGCTGCAGTAGAGCGTTAAGTCTTTGAAAGCAAGGTGGCGGCTGTCACTGGTGTGTGCTTTTGCCAGTCAGTTCCCCAGTCACCTGGGAAAGTACGCTGATGGTTGACCAGGAGGCATTTTCATTTTCAGCAAACCTGTAGTACAACATTCTCAGCAGGAGAAGATTAATGGTTAAAGGCAGATGTAAAGCCCCCTCCCCTCTCACCCCCGAGGAAGCTCTGCAGTCTCTCAATCATCTTTAAACACCTTCTTCCCATGAGCCTCAAGCATTCTCCTGGCTGCCCTCCCACCTCAGCTCCCCTCAGC